ACGCCCAGCATCCAGCCCCTGGCTGGTGTCTTGATGCCGCCCCCAGTTAGGTCGGTTGGGGGTGGGGAAGGTACCCAGGCAGGACACAGAGAGCCAAAGCAACGCAAACTGGGAGGGAAGCCGACGATGCCGTGGTCAGACACAGGTGGGGGATGGGTCAGCTGTCCGATTCAAAGGCCTGAGGAGGACAGCCGCTAGCACGGTTCGCAGGGGCAGCCGGGGAGGGGCCGTGGGGCAGGGCGGGCAATGGTTATGGCCCAGACGCACCCCACACTGTGGTCCCCTTGAGGCCCAGGGATCAGGGCAGGCAGGGCCAGGCCTGCAGCAGGAGGCACCCCGATGCCCTACCCCGCTGGAGCCCAGCCCTGCCCAACACAGCGGGATTTCCACACCCGGGACTTGGGCCCAGGAGAAAAACAGGAGCCAGGAGAACCGGCAGGAAGCAGCCTTGTGACCTGTTGAGACTGGACGCCTGGACTCTGCCAGTCCTGGGCAGCAACAGGAGGCCTCCACAGCCTGGGCATCCCTTACTCCCCCAGGGGAGCAAGGCCCAGGTCCACCACCCACCACCCAGGCCTCAGAGGACAGAAAAGACAGGGCCAGCCAGGGCAGGGGGGGCATGCTGCCTGCACCCTGCAGCAGCCCCTCAGACACACCCCGGCATGCCAGCCACATAGGGGCAGCGAGGTGGACACCCAACAGGAAGAGAGGCCCCCGTGTCTGCTGCCCCAACTTACGCAGGCACCACAGCCCCACAGAACCGAACTCCCCGGGGAGGCCGGGACCCAGCCCAGCACTCAGCTGAAGTCCCCACAAGAGGGGGCCACCACAGGAAGACCTGAGGGGGCCCAGCACCACCTGGGGCTCTGCCAGCCGCAGCCGACAGCCAGCCATGCAGCAAGCCCTCCTGGGGGCCCGGCAGGCGAGAGCACGTCTCTGAGTGAAAGCAGCCACCGAGACTCGGGAGGGACCCGATTCCTGTTTCTCAGCCCGGGTGGCCCAGCCTCCTCTGCCATTCCCAAGCCCCCGCCCTTTCTGACTCACCCCCAGGCAGGCAGAGGAGCTCCCCAGCCCTCACACCACAGGGCCCACCTGGCCCCCCCAGGGGTGGACTGCCCACCTGGCCAGCGCCTCCAGATGACCAATCACCCAATCACAGGGCTGCCCGAGCCTCTGTGCCCCCTACCCCTGCATAAATGAGCCCCCAGGGCCCAGAGTCCCTGCTCCCCTGCCCCGCCCCCAGCCTGAGGAACCCAAGTCCCCCAACCCAGCACGACAGGACATCCTCCCCTCCATCTGAAGCCTGGACACCAAGACCCCCACCCAGCTAGGCCAAGACAGCCAGGAGGTGAGGGTGGGGGGCGCCAGAGCCTCCAGGACAAGGGCTCAGGTGCTTTCCTCAGGAAAGCCCATCGCTGGCCAGCATAATCTCCGGGAGCTACAGGCAGAGACAAGGGCAGGGGAGGCCTCAGTGGAGCCTGGGGGAAATGCCGCCAAACCGTTCTGGGGTTCCCTCCTGGGGTTCCCTCCTGGGCCAGGCCTCACCAGGTGGAAGAGCAGACCTCAGAAGCAGTCTCCACCGGCCCTTAGGGGTGGCCACCCAGGGGCACCCCACTGGCATCATGCTCCCAACCTCAGAATTCCTGGCGAGATCCCGGTTAACCTCAAACTTGTGGCTGTCCGGCCCCGCCCGCCAGCCGCCGCCGCAGACTCGCCCTGGCAAGGAATCTGCTCAGAGCAGGGCCCTTAGAGCCAAGCACAGCCACAGGGGGACCCCCAGGACTCCCAGAGGCCAGAGCATGCCACAGGGCAACCCTTGCCAGTGGGTCCCCAGAGGCACAGGGTTCCCCCACTAGACCTCCCCGCCATGAAGCAGGATGATGGCAGAGCAAGCTCATACATGACAGGGGAGATCTCTAAGAGACCCCCCCCTTGTGCCCCCACAAGTCAGGGATCCTCAGCTCCCACCATGCCTTTGGCTGCCCCTTCCCCCCCGCCTCCTGACCCTAGAGCTCCCCCAGGCTGAAGCTCTGCAGGCTCCAGGGCAAGCGGGTCCCAGCCATCTACACCCCGCCATGAGCTCCAAAGGTACCTGTCTGGACTCTCCCAACACCACTGGGGGCACTGACCCCAGACAGACCGGCTGCAAAGGGCAGAGTGGGCACTCACCCAGGCAGGCTGGGTCAGGCCCAGCCCCCACTCCCTGCCCTGCAGCCCTCACATGGCCCACAGGCAGGTGGCTTCAGAGACCGGAACTCCTGGCCCAGAGATGGAGGGACCAGGGCCATTGCCAGGCAGATGAGCTAAGTGCCAAGTCTAGCCAGGCCTGGAATCAGCAAGGCAGCCCTGATATCAAGGGACTCCGACCTCTGCCTCACAGTCTAAAAGCTGGGCCCAGACTCCTCCCTGCACCACCGCTCACCAAAGCCAAAGCTTGGCACCACTGCGCCAACCCGCCATAGGCCCAGGAACCTTCCCCAGCTTTGCCGTGACCTGCATGGGAAAAGTGGGAGGTAGGCACGGGACCCCCCCACCCACTTGGCCAAAGATGGGAGTGGGACCCGGCCCAGAGTAGGTGGCCACACCCCAGACTCCCCTTTCCCTTACTAGGTGGCCAACTATGGCCAGGAACGGAGGCTCGGGGTACTCAAGGCCTGGCCCACAGTGGGATGGTAGGTTGGGGCAGCAGGCCCAGGCTCACCAGGGTGGTCCTCACAGCCCCTGATCTGAGGGTACCCCTCTCATGGTGGGGCCGGGCCGCTCCCCAGCCCACCCAGGGTTGCGGAGAACACAAGCTCCCTCTCTGCCTCTCCCTAGTGGTGGTGGAGAACAAGAAAGTCTAATTGTCCAAACTTCCCTCAGGCCCCCAAGAGAACTGCTGAATGGCCCCAGCTTGACCTAACCTGGGGCTGCCCAGGGTCCATGCAAATCAGAGGATCCAGGAAATGGCCTCAATGTCAAAGTCCCGAGACACAGTCACACACAAGGACACAGACTCCCTGAGGGCGGCCAGGCACACCTGCTCAGCCCATGAGGCCTCTGAGTAACCACCCCCCACAGCATTGCTGAGCTGGGGACTCAAGTTACCCATGGCTGTGCTGGGTCAGGCCTCGGACAGAGCTTCAAGCGGACAGCCAGCCTCCAGCTCACTGTCCCAGAGGCCCTGCCCAGTGCAGGCGGGAAGTCCCCTCAGCCAAGACAGCCACCACTAAGGCTGGACATGGGGACACTGACCCAGAGGCTGCTGGAGTCAGCAGATGGCCCAGGCTGCTCCCAGGAACCCAAGTACTATGTGGCTCAACAAGAATAGGGACCCAACAGACAGCAACCCTCAGGCAGGGGCAGGTGGAGTGACAACCCATAGTCCCCAGTGATCCTTGATCTCTGCCCTATCCTCAGGACCCTGGAGGAGGGATCCAGAGAGAGGCTGTTTTGAGCCTCTGGAAACTTCTGCAGACTCCAATAGACAAATCTGTGCCCGTTGAGATCACCTCATTTCCCCCATACTAATTACAGTGAACCCACTAGGCAGCTACGACCCTGCCCCCATCCCTTACCTTCCCCGCTGACACTCCTCTGACTCCAGGCCCCATGAATCACAAGCTCTCCAGGTCAGCCCTATAAGCACCTGCCCTCCACAGAAGGGAGGCAGTGGGACCCTGAGTCTGACAAGTGCCAAGGTGGGACTTCAGTTCACCCTTGGCCACGGACCTTGACCACCCGCAAGTCAAACACACTCTGCCACACAGGCCCAGGCCCAGAGTGGGTAGAGAAACCAGGACCCTCGCCTCCCCACCGTCCAGCGCTCTCAGGCTCCTGGACAGGCAGCCAGGGCCCCATGCGTCCCCAGCTCAGGGCACAGCCAGGTTGGACGCACAGCACCCCCAGGGAGCGGAGGCACTGCCCCGGTCACAGTCCCAAGATTCCCCCAAGACCCTGCCCGGGCGCGGACAGGTGCGGACACCCGTCCTCGCGCACAGACCCCCACGGCCCACTGACCCGAAGTCCTGGTCCATGGACTTGAAAAAGAATTTGTAAGCGTGCACGGGCCGGTTGCTGAGCACATTCTTGAAGTCGGCCAGCGTGACGCGCTCGGGCGCCACGGGCAGCTTGACCAGGTACGGCGTCTCCTCTTCATCCATGTGATAGATGATCTTGGTCTCCGCCATGGCGCGGCGGCGGCGCGGGGCCTGCGCGGCGCTCCCGGCCCGGCCCGGG